GTTTGGGATTTGTGTGGATTAACCAGCAGATTTCCCCCCATGTGATAATGTCCCTAGGCAAGATGGATCAACACAGCAAGTTCAACATTGTTTTACCACTAACACAATGTGGCCTTCAGGACAACGTTGCATAGGCGAAAGTCACATACCTGCAGCTGTTCCCATTTGGCAGGGACAGACACAGTTAATTATTTGTCACCCCATTTTCTCAGATGATTTTAAAATGTCCTGGTTTCTCTTTCCTCCTCCCACTTTCCTCCTTCCCTTAAGTCAATTGCTTCAAACTGTGTAGAAGTAGATTGCACTCAGTTAACTTAGGAGAGAATGGAGCAAGCAGAGTCTTGTCATTACTAAACTTAGGACATAAATCATGGGGTTCCTCTGATTAACACTGTAGGCTTGTGTGCTCATTGATAACATTTACCTATTCTTCCCTGGTCATTGCACTCTGACAGAGCTGGGCCACACAAGTCCACATCTCCATCTGTAAATGTTGGAGGATATGCATCTTCTAACTGGACATCTCCATATGCACAACAGTAAGCAGTGGCAATCCAACATTACTACAGTGATACAGCATTAACCAGGATCTTGGCCCAAGAATCTATTTCACTGGTTGAGAAATAATGAGAATTATAGTATCAAATGGATACTGAGACCCAGTGTGGCATAGTGTTTTGAGTGTTGGACTGCGACTTTGGAGACCAGGGTTCGATTCCCAGCTCAGCCATAAAACCCACTGGGTGACCTTGGGCAAATCACACATTCTCAGCCTTAGGGGAAAGCAATGGCAAACCTCCTCTGAACAAATTTTGCCAAGAAAACCCCATGATGGGTTCACCTTAGGGTTGCCATGAGTGGTAAACAATTTAAAGGCAAACAACAAGAATAAAGTATCAAATAGTAACTTTTCCAAGCTCTGCCACCCACACAGCCAAGACCATAATGGAGGAGACAAAGCACAGTGTTGCACCCAGTTGCACAATGCTGCTTCATTAATGAATTGAGACGCTAGCTTGTTGCAAAGTTAAATAATACGGCTTACCTGATTAAAATTGAAATCGGGCAGCATCCTGATATTACCACAAGGGTTTAGCTGCCAAATCTGCCACCCATGTCCATCCCCATTCCCAGGGCCGCTCCAGCAGCCATTTTTTCAAGCCAGAAAACTCTAGGCTTTGAAAAGAGCCGTGCTGAGCACCCCTGGGAGCAAGGATGGACGCGGGCTGCATTTGGGCAGCAAATTCAGCAGCAAAATCCATGTGATAATATCAGGATGCCACCCGATTTAAATTTTAAGCCGGATCAGGTAAGCCGTATTATTTAGCTTTGTGATAAGCTCCACTGTGTCACTGAGTGTGCAACCAAATGAGCAAGCACATTTGCATGTGAAATAACCAAATGCATGCACAATGTGCAATGAGAAATATATATCTGCATGTGGAATGCTGTGCAGGTGAAACTCAACTCTTCCTTCGCTGAAGGCAGACATTCCACATCAAATGTAATGTCCAACTGCTGCTGTAGGGGAATGTCCATGCATAAGACACCAACAGGATCCTGGCCATAGTGTGAAAGCATTTTGCTGTGTGTTCTCTATGTACACCTTTGGCCACAATCAGACACAGCTGACAGCTAAGCTCATAGATTTCAATGAACTCAAGCAGTTCTCCTGCTGTTTTGGACCAGCATCTTCAGTGTTTGCTCAGCTGCAGAATCAATAAGCTAAATAGGATATACTATTTAGAGAAAAATTGAGAGAGCAATTCAGTCCCATCCTTCCACTATCTGAGATCTTTTAAATCAAAGTGCAAACGTAGTTTGTACACAATCAGCAGTGGAAGAGGAGAGAAGGAATGGAATCTTGCCCTTCCTGGTAGGCAAAAGCAAACTGTTGCAGCCTCTCCTAGCTAGTCTGTTTTTCCTCAATAATAACTTTTGTCCTCTTGGACACACTGTTATGTTTCCTGGCTACATATATCCCGGGTTTCATCTGTGAAATGTTGGAGGGTATGTCATGTTAGTGCTGAACTGAGTTGCCATTTCTTTTCTTCAAGAGGCTCCTCATCTTTAACAACCTCTTGGCAGCCACATACCTTATGGTCCTTGCCCGTGCTAAGAATACTTGCACTTAGTGATTTTGGGGCACATGTGTCCCAGCTTTCATCTGTGGAATACTGGAAAGTATTTAAGGATGAGCCAAATGACAAGCAGGAATGGGTGAGCAGAAAGGTTGAAGGAACTGGATGATGGAGCCTTGAGGGGGGGCAATGCAGCTCCACAGCCCCTAACATTTGTCACCCCTGCTTTAGGATGAGACAGAAATGAGGCACTGACATATATTAAAGCAAAGTTGAGTTTGTTGGTTTAATCATGAGGGCTATATTTCCTCAGGGCCTCATAGTTGTGGCAGGCAGGGTGAAAACTCAGATGCATACCTGCCAACTCTGCCGATTTCCCAAACTGCTGATTAATCCTCTGTCATCCCACTTTTTCAGCTGCTCTTAAAATGTCCCAGTTTCTCTCTCCTCCTTCCACTTTCTACCTTTGTCATTAGCTTGCTGCAAATTGAGTTCAAAGTGCAAATGTAGTTTGTACTCAACTCAGCATGGGAAAAGGACAAGAGGGGGATGAATATTACCCTTGCCAGTTGACTCAGCCAAAGGAACCTGCTGCAACCTCTCTAGTTCATTTGTTCTCCCCCATTAATAACTTCTGCCATCTTGACCACACTTCAGTGTTGCTTGGCCATATGTGTCCCTTTTTCATCTGTGAAATATTGGATGGTATGCAGGTGGATAGGCCCAGAGCCAAAAGTACATGAGTCCATCTTGTTCTACTCAATGTTGTATGGGCTCCCATTTCTCCCCCCCCCCCCTCCTCTTCCTACTGGTGGCTAGGGAAGGGACAAATCGCACTTACCGAGGCCTGAATTGAGCATTATCGAGAGCGGATAACATCAGGCAGAGGTCCATATATAAGATTGTCAGGTCAAGACTATCCAGGCCTTGAGATTTCAATACTGAAATCTGAGACACAGGAATGAGGACCCCTTGTGATCTCACAGAAAGCAGCCCCCGGTAATGTCATTGATTGATACATTGATACATTAAACCCCAGAGATGTACAGATGCCATTCCAAGAAAAATCTCCAAGTCAAGGAAATGATGAAAATAGATATACATAAAATTTTGGAAG